ATTTGCGTGCAGGTCTGTGTGTGGACATATGTTTTCATTTCTCTAAGGTGGACTCCTGGGAGTGGAATTGCTGGGTCATATGGAAAATTTGTATTTCACTTTTTAAAAAATTGCTAAACTGTTTTCCAAGGTGGCAGTATCATTCCTGCCAGCAGGGTATGAGTGAAACCATCCACGTTTGCTCTTACTGTATATGGGATGGGGAAGAGGTTTACTGGAGAATGCTGCGTGTGAAATCCAAAAATTGGCACCTGCCTGCGGGAAACAGGCCCTCACAGGGCTTTGGCAAGCAGCTGGAGGAACCTCAGCTCCAGTCCCACATAAGCTTCCCAGCCAGTGATGTCAGAGTTTCCAGATCCCAGAGGGATCCAGGGCCACTCCCCCATACCCCCACACTGGCAGAGCCCCTGAGATCCATCTCATTCCAAAGAGGAGTCACTGTTATATATAAAAAAAAAAAGCTCTGTGTCACATTCTTGCTAATTTAGCGACTTTATTGGACAGTGTGATTTACCATCCATGGCCTGCCTTCGAATGGATTCATTTACCTGCATTGATTGTTATATGTTGCTGTTAACTGCTGCCAGCAAATGCACACCAGTGCTTAAAAACTGTGTCACATCTTGCTTTCTGATAATGATAGTTAACTCCCTGCTTGATCACCAATGACATGGTAGTCCCCTTTTGAAGGTGGACTTAAATTGTGTAACTCTTTTCCTTGGCAATGAGAAAATAAATTACTTTTCTATACAGTGTTCTGCTAGGTGCTTCTTAAATTTTGGTTTCAGTAGATTTAGAAACTTCAGGTTTTCCTTTTTTTTTTTCCTTTCGAATGCTCTGTTTTGTTACTCAAAGTGAGGTCCTTAGGCATCCCCTGGAGCTTGGTAGCAATGCAAGGCCTCACTCTCAGGCCTCACCCAGACCTGCCAAACCAGAATGTGTATTTCACAAGATGCCTGGGGGTGTACATGCACAAGGAAACTTACAAACCTCTGCCCTAAATCAGAGGTCAACGGAATGAGTTCTGAAGGGCCACATCTAGCTAACTGCTTGTTTTCATAAAGCTTTATTGAAACACAGCTATGCCATTCATTTGCATATTTTTCTGTGCCTACTGGGCACTCTACAGGATGGAATAACTGTCCCAGAGACCTTAGGGCTTGCAGAGGCTAAAATGATTATTGCTAGATCTTTACAGATAAATATCTGCCTACTATTGCTCTGAAAATGATTTTATTTTTATTTATTTATGTATTTTTAAGTGATTAGAAACTGTCTTAGTTACTTTTCTCATTGCTGAGACAAAATACCCAATACTCACAAGTCAAGGGAGGAAAGGTTTATTGAGCTTACAGTTTTTAGAGGTTTCAGTTCATATCGGCTGGTTCAAGGCAGGGTGGATTGACATCACAGAGGAGAAACAGTTCATAGGGGGCAGAAGACAACAAAAGCAAGCAAGCAGGGGACCTTAGCAGCTTCTTTCTGCCCCTTTTATATTCTATCTAGTCTACTGGGATTAGGGTGGTACCAAACCGATCAGTAGATTGGTTTAGTAATCACACACCGTTAATCCCAGTATCACACACTCTGTATTTAGCCACCTTTGCAAAAGCCCCACCTATGACTGCCTGAGGCTTTGAGGGGAGGGGGTGGCATCTAAACATAAGCCATAACAGAAACTTTTCCTGTTTTCCATTTATTACATACTTTGGGCCATTCTGGTTTTAGTTCCCTGTGTCATTATTTCTTAACACAAGAAAACAACTATTTACACAGCTTTCACATCGTCTTAGGTATTCTAAGTAATACGGAGATATTTAATGTCTATGGGAGGATATGCATAGGTTGTAAGCAAATATTCCTCTTAAAGGACTAGAGCATTCATGGATTTGAGGGGCCCTGAGGAAGACTGAGAGACAACTGAATGTTGTCTTTCTTTATTTTCTTTCTTTCTTTCATCTGCATATCTCTGTCTATCTATCTATCTATCTATGTATCTATCTGATTTGTTATGGGAATTGGCTCATGTGTTTGGAGGCCAAGAAATCCCACTGTCTGCCACCTGCCAGCTAGAGACCCAGGAAAGCTGGTCATGACATTCAGTTCCAATCCAGAGGAGCGTAAGATGTTAAACCCAGTCTGAGGAATGGAGACTGTGAGATGGTGGATGCCCCAGCTCAATGGTGAGGCCAGAAAAGGGCACGTTCTTCCTTCCTCCTTTACATGTCCCCTTTGGGCCCTCAGGGCTTCAGCGATGCCCATCACACTGAGGGGGGCTATCTGCTTTACAGAGCCCACTGATTGAAATGCTAATCTCATCCAGAAACACCTGCAGAGGCACTCCCAGGAATGGTGCTAGCCTGGGCACCCCATGGCCCCATCAACAGCAGACCCCACTTTGGTTTTGCATGGAGCCCTGCAACTTAAGGCTGGCAACCCTAGAGGATGGTGATGGGGATGGAAAGCCCAGGCAGTGTTACCCTTCATGGAGGTGACATCCACACATGTGGCCTCAAGCCAGGCAGGCACTGAATTCTCCTGGGCCAGTGATTTTATGGCTTCCTCTTTGCTCATCACCAACCCAATAGGATTCTTGCCTGTCTTCTACTCACCTTGATTTGTCTGTGCCCAGGGAAGATAGACTACTTCTAATGATTTCTTGAATTAAGAGGTTAGAGACTTAAGTCTGCTTGTGCAGAGGGAGTTTCAAAGCGAATCTGTAGTTAGAGATGGTGTTTGGGCCTCGTGATTTCAGGTGCTGTGCAGTGCACTTTTCTCCCACAGAGCTCAGGTGAGAGGTGTCAACTTTTCTAAGAGGGATGTTCCCGGAAAAAATTGGGCTCCTGTCCCAGTTCAGGTTTGAGGTCCTCAGGACTTTGAAGCCATTGGGGTTTGTAGGCCACAGGTCACTCCTGGAAGGTTCCCGATTGTGCTGCTTCCCCTAGCTCCCTGCAGAGAGGAATTTCAGCCAGTGACCCTGCAGGTAGCTGATTGAGTCTGAAATGGCTGCCTCCCCACCCAGCAGGGACCAGAGTCAGGAACATTTGCTGTAATTTCTCCTCCCCTCTGGAAGACAGTTAATCAGGAAGCTTTTAGAAACAAAAAAATAAAAGGAAAGAAAGAAAAAAAGAGACCTAGTTTGGTGAAACCAGTGGAAAACTACCACCCTGAAAAGAGGTCCCTGAAGGCCCTGAATAGCAAAAGGATATCAGTGGGTGATTGGACTGGGGCTGCAGATCCCTCAGATGCTCAGGGGATTAATGACAACCAATAGTGTCAGCAGTTCAGGGGAGATCAAAGGACATTTGATGAACTAATTATGACTGTAAACAATGATGCAATGCTGATCAGAGCTGTGGTCGTTTCTTGAGCATCTTCTATGTGTTGGGTCTGGGGCCAAGTCATTCCATTTCAATTCTCACAGCAGTCCCAGCTTTCTGTTCAATAGATGGGGAGCCTGAGGCTCTCAAGCTTAACTCAGCCAGGAGCCCACAGTGACAGGGTCAGGCTTATGCTCTGCTGTACTCCCTAAGCTGTCTTCACCGTCCCCCTTGAAGACAGTGAGGCCCTCATATCATGATATGGGGAGTTACTATGGGTTGAAATTAACAAGGTTCTAGCAGATCTGAAGTGTAAGCAATTATTTTCCAAAGCATAGCGGTGATGATTTCAGGTGGTAGACAGGTGAATATTTTTAAAAAGTGTATTTATTATATTTCAAGGAAATAGATATGACTGGTTTATGAAACCTGTGATTTTAAAGAATTACCAGTTCCAAGCACGAATACAGGGAAAGAAACAGTGAGTCTTTTAAAATAAAAATAATAGTGTGGGGAAGACCTGTGTGCAGCCCTCTGGTTCAGTGATTCTAAAAGCACTTGTCTGAGTGACAGAGACAAGCTCAGATCCAGTGCTGAGGTCAGGGTGGAGCGTGTCAAAGCTAAGCTGGGGGTGCTGGCAAGGAGATGTTTTCTGGGTGTGTCTGTCACCTCTCTCCTTCTGTGGACATGATGTCACCACTTGTTGTCAAAACCAGACACTTCAGCTGACTTTCACGGTTACTCATCAGTTTAAGCAAAAAACCCATGGCCCGTGAGGTTCCATCATGTGTATCCTGCCTACCGTGGTGCCTTGTTTTATACCTTTTGCCTCCAAATTATACCCAAACCAAATTGGCCTTCTCTTTGCCTTTAGAATACTCTGAGCCTAACCCTGCCTCAGGGCCTTTATACTTCAGTTCTTCCATCTGGAACTCTTTTCCCCAGATATCTGCTTGGGTAACACCTCCCTAACATTCTGGTACTCACTTAAATATCATTTCTGAGGTGACTTACCATGTACACCCTAAAGTCCTCCCACTGTTGATGCCAGGGATCTGCAAATGTTTTCTGTGAAGGGCAGGTCGTACCTACCATAGGCATCCAGGCTGTGGGTTCTGCTGCAGCCCTTCAGCTTTGCTGATGTTACTCAAAGGTAGCCAAAAACAATATGGAAGTAAGTGTATGTGGCTGCTTTTCATAAAACTTTATTTACAAAAAAGCAGGTGGCAGGCTGAAATTTTAGCCCATTGGCTATTGTTCGCCAGTTCTTGCTCTGTGCTATTGTCTTGTTTTATTGTTGTCATAACATTTATCACTATCTCCAGTGGTAGTTTGTACATAAACTTTGTCTCCTATGAGATGTGATCAAAATATATGTTGAATGTCTATATTTTAAAAAATTACCACAGTCAAAGGCCCATTGCCGATAACCCCCCTCAGAACACTCCCCTTCACTTCAAACACACTTAGCCCCTTATTCTTGCCACCTTTTGAAGCAGTTCTAGAATAAAGTTGGGGTAAGTGTGTTCAAAGCTGGGGGGTGTTTGAGGAGAGGGATGGCAATGTCTTTTACCATAATAACTTTTTGAAAAACGTAAACATTTGACAGTTTTCTAGTCACACTGCAGTCTAGAACAGAAATGCGACAAGGGCAGGGTTTGCCTTTCCTTCCTGCTCAGTGGGGCCTCCCCTGTGCATGAGTGGCGCTCATGCAGCTCCTGCGCTCGCTGTCCCTGGCCCCACGTGGGTCGTTGGGAACGGAGCTCACAGCCAGGTGCCCACACAGATGTGGAGGCAGGCAGTGGGGCAGTATGATGTGCCAAGCGGGGTAGGAAGTAGCCCAGCATAGCCGAGGAGGCTTCTTGGAGGGAGCGGCGTCTGACCTGCGTCTGAGGGCCCGTTTAGGTCCTGTGGGTAAAGAAGGGGCAAGAAGGGCCTTGTGGATCACTGTGGGTGAAGGCATGGAAGCAGCAACTCCCGGGGCTGTGCGCTGTGGAAAGAAAAGCAGCTGACGTAGAGGGAGCAGTGAGCTCGGCAGGCTGACAGGAAGGGCATCTGGGTAAGTTTGGGGCCGCTGTTGGATGAGTTTTCTGTGAACAAATAACTAATGGCCTTTCTGAAACACGGGCTGGGACCCTGCATTCAAATGTGGACTTTGCTTCCTGAGAACGGAACTGTTAAACATGTTGCTACTTGGAAGAGCAAGCAAGAATTATTTGTCCATGGACCTAAGGTGAGTACTCCAGCTCTGCCAATTTAGCCTCAGCTGCCTGGAGTCGGCCAGCATGTGGGGGGAGCTACATGGTGTCCTCCTTAATTGATGAGTCCAAGAAAAATGTGTCTTGACTCTTTAAATATATATAGATGACGCTAATGAGCATCGCTCTTTGGCTTCCACCCTGCTGTGCATCTAAATCTCATCAGGTGTCTGTGGGCAGCTAAACACGCAGCGATGGGGCAGCATGTGGCTGGGGAAGGTTTGGGACTCGCAAGCCCCGAATAAAATTTTACTGAGGACGGCCAGCCCTGCTGTTTACGAGGTGCTTAAAGGGAAATCATGACCTGCAAAGCTGCAGACTGTTCTTCCTCACTCTAGCGAGAGAAAATGTCCTCGGGACTGCAGAGACATTGCCTACAACTTCAGCACCTTGGCCAAACTCTAAGGAGGTGGGTCAAGTTCAAGGGTGGAGACCAGTGCTGCAGGAGAAAGGAACACTTGTGTAACACCTGGTGTGTGCTTGGTGGTGAAGGTGTCCATTCCTTCTGTGTGGGTGAGGGATACAGGGTGGCCATGTTTCTATAGCATGTGCTGAACCATTTCCCAGTAATGGTAATTTAATATATTTCTTTACATCTTCTTAATTTTTATTTAGCCTGAAGTTAAATTATAATACCTATAAAATCATAGCATTAAGAGAGCCTATTTTCTTCTACTCTGCTTCAGCATAAATCTGTAACTTCTGACCCCTTTTTTGTCAGTACTGGGGATTGAACATGGAGATATGATAACACTAAGTTACATTTCCAGCCATTTTTAAAACTTTGAGGTAGAGTCTTGGTAAATTGCTAAATTGCCCAGGTTGGTCTTGAACTTTGGATGCTCCTGCCTGGGCCTTCCAGCATGCTGGGATTATAAGTGTGCACCACTACACCTGGCCTATTGACCCTTTTTAGTACAGGTTTGTCCAGAAGCCATGTAGAATAACTTAAAGTGCCATCATCTGGAGCCTCCTTGACCTTGTCTTGTTCAGTCCTTCATGGTTTGCTGGAAGATGTTATTGCTTCTCTTTAATAGGTAAGGAAACAGAGGCCCAGAGAAGTTAAGCTCTTTGCTCAAAGTCACACACAGCTGGAAAGTGGCAGCATCTGGAGTTGAGCACAGCTCTTTTCTGGCTGTGAAGCTCTAGCTATGTGTATCAACTTTTCAGAGGAAGACAAGGAAGAAGATGTCCATGTGTCCCTTGGGCTGGTTGGACAGACTCAAAACTCTTTAGGACAAGCCCAGATGTGAAGGCTGTGGCCAGTCCCACTTACAGTTCTTTCTCAGGAGAGAGAAGCAACTTTTGCCAGTGTCATCCAGGTTCCTGTGGATTTTGCTAAAGGCCTTGAGTATACTGTGAGCTTTGTTCTGACATGGGCTGGCGAATCTTTAGTCACCCCATAAAATACCAGTCATCGCCCAGGTAGGGTTGGGGAGGACAGCACACAGGACTATTCTCACAGAGCCACTGTCCAGCCCTAGGCTGGCTGGGTTCATCCTTTATATTAGAGGCTTATTAGTATTCAGCCCTCATAGAAGTTCCTTGGAAGAAAAACCCATCATAATGGATTCCAAATGAGCACAGCTGCCAGCCGTCCTTGCGAGGTAACGGAGCAGACCCAGCTGACGGGTGCAGCAATGGCCCAGTGCTAAGCAGGACTTGGGCTCAGGGCAGGCTCCTCTGTTACTGGGCTTTCCTGGCCAGGCCTGCAGAGAGAAGCAGGCCTCTGGGCGGGAAAAGCAGCAACCCCAATGTGGGGGTTGCAGCAGGACACAAGGGAAGAAGGGATCAGGTAAAGCTGGCAAACCCAGCGAGGTCGCAGGGATGAAATCACATTTTCCACCAAACTCTAAGTCACCAGAAGTGAAGCTCCAAGATCTGGGCCTCTATCATTGTGTGTCTGGGGCCTTCTCAGAGCGGAACAGAGGCCTCCTCCTAGTGTCCTGCTGAGCAAATGCAGTCCTTCTGGTGTGGATGGGGCGAGCAGAGTGCAGGCTGGAGTTCAGACTCCACCTGCCACTTTGCATTGCGCAGACTGTGCTGCTGTTCACGGCAGCCCTGTGTTAGGTTTCTGTTGCTGTGATGAGATGCCTGAGAGTCACAACTAAAAGGAGGAAAGGCTTATTTTGGCTCATAATTTCAGATTTTAGTGTATGGTCAGCCACTTCCATTGCTTTAGGTGTGTGGTAAGGGAGATGGGCATGGTGGATGGAAGCTGCTCACTTCGTGTCAGCAGGAAGCAGGTGGGAAAGAGAGAGAAGCGGGCTGGAGACACCATATAAGCCCCAAGACCATGGATCCATGATCTACACCCTTCAGTGGGGCCCCGTCTCCTCAGAACCCATTTAACTCTGGGCTTGCCAGTGGGTTAAGCCATTGGTGATGTTAGCACCCTTGTGATCCAGTCGCTTCCCCAAAGCCTATCAGTAACCAAAGCCTTCAACAAAGCAAGCCTTTTAGGGGAGATATTTTAGATCCTAACCATAACAGGCCCCAAAGTATGATTTAGAAAACAGCATATGTGCACAGTTCTTTATTACTGTATAATAAACCATGTGAAAGCCTAGTGGTTTACAAGTATTACAAATTGAGAACTGCTTGTCTAAAGTGCGTAGGACCAGAAGTAGAGCCACTTCTGACAGGACCTCTCTGTATGTGTGTCCAGTGCCTTGCTTCTCACCCACCCCCACCTCTCTCCATGGAGCACGATGGGTTCCAGAACCTCACAGCTGATGAACTCAGAATAGTGACATTGCTTTTGTGACAGCTGGTCTCCAACCGGCTGTAAGGTAGGAGCTGTCAGAAACTTAAGGTCCACACTGAAGAGTAAGCACAGCTTCCTTCCTGTGATATTTGCTTAAGGCCATCCCAGGGCCCACTCATTATGTGAGGGGCTGGAAAAATCAGCCCCATCTCTGATGGGGTGGAAGGTGCCAAGTTCGTCTTGCAGAACAGCATTTGGGAGTGGAGATATAGTTGCAGTGTCCTTGGGAAAAGCCAGCCTGTCGTGCTTTAATTGGCAGAAAGTTTGCAGGAGTCTCACAGTGCTCTTCTACCCTGGAGTTCAAGCTCCCTGCTGTGGTCTGTGTGTGGTTTGAATGTGACTCCCAGGTTCATTATTCAGAGCTTGTTCCTCAATGTGATGATATTGGGAGGCAGTGGGCCTTTAAGAAGAAGAGCATAGTTGGTGGGGGTCACTAGGGCTGATTTCCTTGGAAAGGAGTAAAGTAGTTTTTCTGGGGCTGCTGATTAGTTCTTGTAAGTATGTTATTATAAAAGAACAGACTGATAAAGAAAGCATGAAGCTTTAGAACTGTGGACTAAAAAAACCCCTTTTATTCCTAAAGTAACCTGGCCTTGGATATTTTGTTATAGCAACGGAAAATTTACCAATACACTCTCATAAAAAATAATGAGAGACAAAACATATGTGCATTCTCTTAAAAGCAAAATATATGCCTAATTCTTAATGTCCCATGGAGTCCTAATTTTTGATCTAAAAGACTATGATAATAAGCTTGCAAAATGGAAATCCTCCCTCAGAGCAGCAGTTGTGGGAGCAGACAGGATGTCTGTGTGTTCAAAGGAGGAAAGGGTGCAAATGTAGCTGTCTTCTATTTAGTGTGGACCAAACACCAGGGCCTCTGGTTAAGACCCACTCACCCCACACCCTTGCATTAAATCTGAAATGTGTTTTATTAAGCCCATGAAGAAAGAGTCGGTTGTTTGAGTGGAGGCAAACTCAGACAGCAAATTGATGTGTTTGGTTGACATTTGCTTTTGAGCCAAGCCCTTGAGTTATTATTGGACACTAGGCTCCCTTTAAAAATATGTTGCAACAAATAACAAGCGTATACATTGACTGGAACATGTGCACTGTTAGCTAAAAAAATCAGAATAATTACTGGGCATTTTTTTGAAGATGCTAAACTTTGTAAAGAAAAATAGAAAGAGATGTTGCATATTAATTATAACAGGGGAGTGACCCAGTGCTCTTGGAGTGTTCCAGATGCAGGAGTGCTGGGTTTGCAGTCTGGTCTTTGCTGGGATGTGGGCAGCTCACCGATACCTACTCTTGGCTTCTTTTCCCCTTCACCCATAAAATGCAAACAGTTCTCTGTATTTTATCTAATCCTGAAATTATTCTAAGACTAAAACAGTGCAACACTGTTTGTTTTCTTCATTGCTTTGCAAGTTGAAAAATTCTTTACATATTGAGCCATTATTGCTAATACACATAGTAAATTTCTGTTTCTGAAGAATTGACATTAGCAATACCTTCTTGGCTAATTTAAAAATTAAATATACAGAGTTTATAATTATTTGAAATTACAAAGTTAAAAGAATTAACTAATAACTTTGGTATTACTTAGAGTTTGGGTATAAGCCATAATTTGGGCACTTGTGTCTAATGTATACATAAATTCAGCTATCTTGCCAGTCTTGGCTAACCAACATAGCACTTTCTAAAATTAAAGGTCTGATCCCACAAAGACAAAAGTATGCCCTTAGACAATATTTTATTGCTTTGGGTAAACTTCACCCACAGATTGAGCCCTATTGATGAATGAGCTCATAGTAATGAGTGGATTCCTCTCATCTAATGGACTATTTATCAACAATTTCTTGAGGGTGTAAAACACAAGAACAAACTGTCTTTCTTTTTCCCTCAGTACTGGGGAGCACACCCAGGACTCTGCTCTGAGCTACATCCTCCACCTCTTTTCTATTGTTTGTTTTGATAGAGGGTCTCTCTAAATTGCTAAGTGGTCCAGGCTGGGATTGAACTTGCAATCCTACTGCCTCAGGCTCCCAGAGTGCTGGTTTTACAGGCATGGACCCCAGCTTGAGCAAGCTGTCTTTTTAACTCAATGTTCTTTCCTCAGCGTAGACAGCTACCATTTTGTTGTGAGGCTCAGTTGGAGCATTCTACTTTTCTTTCCAAGCCTATAGCAAATATAATAGGCTCGAA